AATAGACTGGTTTTATCGTGAGTTGTGTCTTTAAATACAATTTATGGTCAGTTTAATAGAACTTCGTTAAAATTTTTTTATTAAATTATTTTTTATTCGAACAAGATGAAATTTGGTATAATTAATTTTAAGTTAACTTCTGTTGCATTTCTTGACCTTTGTGAGTCATTATAACAGCGTTCTTTTAAGATGGGAGACGATATAATAGAATCATTCTGGATGAGTGAAGGCTACGAAAAACCTGCTGAAGCAATGATGCCTCAAAACCATTTTCAAAGGAAAGTATGGGAGTTGATGGAGTATCCAGATTCTTCTGTTTGGGCAAGAATTACGGCATTTATCTCAATATTCGTTATAACAACGTTTGTATTACTGATATTCTGAATAGCTAAGCTTTTTTCCACATTTCGAAAGTTTAGTTGTTTATTTTTTTTTACTTAACATTATGACTATAATTTATAATTGCAGCTCAATCGTATCATTTTGCTTAGAGACTCTTCCTGACTTCCGGGATCTCAATGAAACAATGTCTGACACTGGACTTGTTGAGAGGTCCAGAAATTGGTCAAATCCATTTTTTGCTATTGAATGTTGTTGTATCATATGGTTTACAGTTGGTAAGTTAAATAGCTCTGAAAAGCAAAAATTCTTCAAATATTTTGGAAAGAGTCATTAAATAACTTTGATAATATTTTTACTTTTTGTCAACCAGGGCAATGCAATAAAATGTTTTTTTTTTTTTTCAGAATTAATGTTACGATTTTTAAGTTGTCCGTGTAAGCTGACTTTTATGACTTCATTTCTAAATATTATCGACTTTGTTGCTATTGCTCCGTTCTTCTTTAGCCTTGTTTGGTAAGAATCATTTAATTTTTTTTAGTTTTTTAGCAGAAAAAAAATGATTATAAGAATACTGAGCTAGCTAATTCTTCGCGCAAAAAATCAACAGCGTTTAAAAAATTAAGATTTTTGAACTTAGCATTAGAGTACTGTGTATTGCTCACCATTCTTTTCACCTATTATATTGTCACATTTTACATATGACATTCAGAAAACTAATAAATGTTGGAGCACTGTAATAAAAAAAAAACCTCTGGAGACGAAAAAATTTATTCTGTATTGCACTGTGCGTATTTTACAGTTGAAAATCATTGCTTACAGCAGTTGATTGACTGCTTAAACAAACACTTCGGTACATAAATGACAAAAAAATGCATTTTACAGGTCTGATTCAGCAAAAAATTCTTCAATGTCATTTGCTGTACTACGAGTTTTACGATTAGTTCGAGTTTTCAGGATTTTTAAACTAAGCAGGTGAACAGTCAATGGATATATTGCTTATTTCTTACAGTAATTTTATTGAGCTAATTTTCTACACGGACACGTATCACAGCTGTTGTAAGCAAACTGAATTTTGACTGGACAGGCGATTCGTCCAGTCAAAATTCTGTTTGATTAAAATCCATGCGGAAAAGCTGTAGCCTGTAAGGAACTTGATTTAGAATTTATCGACCTTATCTGGTGATCGGACACTGCGAAGGAGAGCGCTTCTGCTTCACTAATACAATCTGGATAAACGCAAAATAAAGTCAGAATATCAAGTTCAAAATATTGAGAAAATTTTTCATAAAGATCTAGAATGGACTAACGAAAAAGGCGTTAGAAATTAAGCACTGCAATCAATTTCTTGCATTTTTTCATTTTGGATTCTATGCGAGTTAAAAGTAGGCATACAATAGCTCTCCTGTGTAGTATTCCGTTCATTGGCTGAGGTTGGCCAGTTCTTTTTTTGTATTATTGCAAAAGGGTATTCCTTCGGTTTAGCGTTTCTTGCATGTTCTACTAAATATTGCTTGTTTTAAGGTATATTAATTTATTTCTCTAAGTTCTTTGCGTATTTTCTTAATTTTTTTTAGGCACTCAGTCGGTTTACAAATACTCGGCAAAACGTTCAAAGCATCAATTCAGGAATTCTGTTTGTTGATATTTTTTTTGGCTATCGCTTTAGTGTTATTCTCCAGTGGCGTTTATTTTGCTGAACAAAATGAGCCAGATACAAAGTTCACATCAATTCCGGCCTCGTTTTGGTTTGTTCTGGTACGATGTTCTGCTGCTCCTCTTTTTTTACTATGTTTTCTTTTTATATGTAGTTATAGTTTACCATTTCTTCCATTACTGCACTATGAAAATAAGCAAATAAAAAATTTCTAAACAATTATAATAATTTTATTAGGAAATCGTCTTGTTGTAATTTGTTATCGCAATGAAAATTTTTATTAAATTTGTTGATGCTTTATTCATCTTTAATTACAATGATTGCAGAATTTTTTTTTTTTTTTTTTGATTATTTCAATTTTTTTAGATATTATTAACTTTTAAGGGTGACTAATTATTACTGTTTTTTTTTCAGGTTACAATGACGACTGTTGGGTAAGCAAAAAAATTAAGCAGCTTTTTGATTGCATTTTTTTCGTCTCATTGGTTTGCTGTTATGTATGACGCCTGCTAAGTGCAATATTATCGTTCTTTTAGCGCTTCTCGTTTCCAGAATGCCTTTTTTTTCGTTTATTCTTTTATGTTTTTACTTTTAGTTTTAATTTTAATGTTTGGTTTTGTCTCTGTTAGTATTTTCGATTTTATGCGTAGTTCACGGAGGATTTTTTTAACACTCTTTTGTTGCGCTTCACTACACTTCTGAAAAATTTTTATTGCATAGTTTTTATTTACATTTAAGCCTGCTTATCTGTTGGCCTGTTCGGTTTTAGAATGATAGATTAATGATGACGATTTTTCATAAGGAATAAAGCATTTGCAAATTGGAAGTAAATAAAAATCTTCAACAAGCAACAGAAAATTTAATGAATATAATCAAGTGAATTCTTTAAAAAATTTAGCTAAAGGTTTGACATTTGATATTATTTCATTCCTTACGTACTTTTCTGTATGTCATCGCTTCAAAATGTTTTTTTTATACTTTTTTGTTGCAAATTCTTTCTCAGTAATTAGAGATACGTAACACACATGAAATTCTTAACAATGATTTTAAAAAAAAACTTGTAGACAGCATGTACCATTATAATTTTTGCTTTAGTTTTTGGACGTATAATTGTTATCATTACTGTCGTCACGTGTTGTCGTCGTTGTTGTTGTCGTTATTGTGGTCGGTACCGTTGAAAGCTGGTTGAAATCACCTATAAGTCAAAAGATGATAACTGAAGACTTAATGCATGATTTTTTTTGTTTTTCCTTTCTTTTTTATATTCTATTTTTAGTTTTTTTTTTTTGCTACAGTTACAAGAAGCATCTAAAAAGTGACCAGTAGACACCGACGTGCCTACTTCTGATGCCTGATGGTTGACTGTCAATGTTGATGTATGTTATGCACGAACGTCATCTACCGTAGTAGTTATCTGTTCGACAGACTATAATTTATTTGTTATATTCACACGCTTTGCAGGTACGGCGATTTGACTCCGACAAGTGTTTTTGGTAAAGTAGTTGGAGGTGCTTGTTCGCTAATAGGTGTGCTTACTTTAGCTCTACCAGTTCCAATTATTGTAAGTTGCAAATGAATTCTTTTTTTTTTTTTTTTGACTTATACTGTGAGTTGAGATATTATAAATAAACTATAAATAGCAGACTTAAAGAGTCAATGAGGAAAGAAATATAATTTGAAAAAGAATTACAAACATTTCTAATGTTTTTCTCCTATGAATTTGACATTTTTGTAATTATTGACATTTTTGTAATTATTGACATTAAACCGGATACTGTAACATAGATGAATAGCTGCTATGAAAATCAACTTTTTTTTCTACTGGAACCTCTTAAATTACGTTTTGTTGCTTGTCGGTATACGTCAGAGTTTCTTTATATACTCACTAAAATCTGAGACACTTGTTCTTCTCAGGAAAATTTTTCAACATTTTCTTTGTTTTTTTTGACTGCAGTTTTGACGCAAGCATTTCTTTAGCAAAAATTTTAGATCTCAATTTTATTGGTGGTGTATACTGTAGCTCTAACTGCAGTCTTTCTTTTAAAACCACCTAAAACTTAGTCTATCTTTATGTCACCTAAAGTGTTTCTTATGATTAGCACACAGGTGCAGGTTACCTTGATAAAGTTTGAATAAACAAATATCAAAAATATTTTTTTTGCTGTTGCTTGTTAGCCAGTACGCTAAATATGATAGTTTTTCCTAGGTGTCCAACTTTCGGCACTATTATCGTCAAGAAACTAAGCTGGCAGCAATGCGGGAAAACATGGAAGTGGCAGAATTGGAAGACGATGACGCCTCACAGCAAAACGATAATCCGTAAGCCGCTTTTCACATAGATTGCTGCATTTCCGGAGCTTCTCAATTCTCATGCGTATTAATTAGTGAAACTTGACTATTCGCATTCCTCTTTTTCTGTATGTAATCAGATCTTCTTTATCCTTAAAATAATACGGGGTCTTCAACTAAGGCTGTTTTTTAACTTCTCTAATTTTACAAGCCAAACTACTTACTCATATTACTATTATCTTTGTTCTCGTTATCATTCTTATTAACAATATTACTATTATCATTTCTATTATTATTACTGTTATCATTAACATTATTATTATCATTATTATTGTCTCTGAACACCGTTATTGTTGTTATTTATAACTTTTCTTATTCTGACAAACAAACAAATCATTGGAAGCAATCTTTAGAAAAGCTTCGAACACCTCATTTTCAGTTCTATATCATTCATCGATATGCGTAAATTTACTGGTTGTTTTCAGACAAACGAGTAGCTATGATCGCAGAATTCTTGAAATTTGATGATTTATGGCAACGCTGTATTACTGATTTATATTGCTGATATTGTTAGCAAAATTGTCAAGCAGTTAAAAGCTGGGTTTTAGTTTCCAAAGCAAACGGCTAGTCAAAAAGCCATATCCCAAAAATTTTTTCAATTTCAATTTCTTATTCGTTCTTTCAATTTAGTTATTGCAGGATTAAGTAAATCGTACTCGACTTTAGTTGATGTATAAAGTTGCTGATCTCATTTTATTTATTAAAAGATTTCCTGTTAAGTATATGTATGTCTCAACAAAATTTTGTTTTGTACATTTTATATAAATAAAGATTTTGTTTTTACTTTTAATCTTTTATTTTAATACAACAAACTTTACGAGTTTGTAAGCTTAGATGGTTCCTGCAATGAGCAGTTCACGGTTCTATAATTCAGTACAATTTTTATGAAACAATTTTGACTTTTTCAACTTAGGCTGCCTTGCCAACATTAATTAGTGGAAACTGATGTTGACGTATAAAAGTCATATAAAGTAAATTTCATTTAGTTACTGAATAGGTTAGAAACAGTATCACCTAGATATAGGCTAGAAAACACAGAGAAAGGGACCTAAGATCAGCTTTTATTTTTGATAGAGGTGTTGAATAGGGGGTTCGGTGATAACACATTGTTTGTTATTTTCGCTAATCTAAACGTTAATAAAAACAATTCAAAAATGTCTGATTTTTTATTTCAAATAAACAGTTGACAGCAATAAACAAAAAAATAAACAATAAACAGTTACTTAGACTTCGGTATCAAATTTTTTCTTATATGTCAATATTTAACTATATTTTTGGGCTTTTTGAGTGTACTTCTCAAGTCTTGAAAGCTGAAATTTCTTATCTTGTTATTACTTAACGAACAGATAAAGATAAAGTGTTACAAATCAGGTCTTAGTCTCAACTGTTCTATCAAGCACCAAGTTTTATTTATCTCATGTTTTATTTATTTCTTTTTTGTACGTTGAAATTCTCCAACTATTTTTTAAATGAAATTTTGATGTATCACTAAAACAAAATAAGGTTTGAAATTTTTTTGTAATTTTCAGTTATTATATACAAAATACTAATAATTATTTGATGTCTACTGATCACCAAAGTGTACAGCCAAGAAAGAAATGATTTTTTTAGCAGCGCTCGAACCGTATCTAAATGTTCATCAGCAGATGTTTCTTTCATACCAACAATATTTCAGGCTATAATATTGCTAAATCAGAAATCTTATTTTATAACTTCTGAAATACCACACTGATGTTTAGGAGCAACAGAAAAAAAATGAGTGATTTTGAGTTTGTGTGAGGCGATCTGCTGGTTTTAAGGAAAATCACATACTACACTGTAAGCAGTAATTCTGCCGACGTCATTATCTGCAAAAAAATAGTTAAAAAACTTTTAAAGCTTTGTAAATATAAATAAAAGTATAGCCTAGCTTATTTGAAACGTTAGACTAAAGAAAAAAATTGTTTTTTTTTTTTTTAGTTTGTTAATAAATCTTTGGATAAGACAGGATTGTATTGGAAATTAGATGTGAAAGACTGTAATAGCGTCAAGACAGTCTTCTATTTAGCTGTTAAAAAAAATTTATAATTTCTTTGCGTAATAAAGAAGAACTTTTTTTTGATCTATAAACAGATTCAATAATGTTTAAACAGGCTCAAACAGCTTTTTTTTGTGGAAAAAAGATTACAAAGTTATAAACTTTTTCACTGTTTTTAAGACACAGTTTTTTACACTAATAAATTGCAAAATCTGTCACCAACTTAGGTGACTGTCACTTCGTTTTAAAGTGCTTTTTCTTTTTTTTTTTTTTTTTTTT